TTCTCCGATCTCAGATCTCGAGGTCAGGCCATCGAAATGCAGAGCTCTGCGGTTACTTTATCGCCTGCTCTTCCTCTTCTCAAGCCACGGAGGCCTTTGAGTTCGTCTTTCAGCTCTGGATGTAACTCAATTCGGGTATCTTCTTCGTCTTCCTCGAATTCCAGAGATCTCGGAGACCTGAATGATGTTCGTCTCACTTCCTCATGGCCGCAGCGATCTTGGACTCTGTCTTCGTCTCCTTTTTCCTCCGCGAAACTCCGGCCATGGTCTGGCGTGCTCTCGCTTGCTTCGGATTCTGATGCGAGTCATTTCAAGGTTCAGGCTACTGCGGTGCCGGATAGCGCAGGAGAGGATGCTAGTGCTGGCGGTAATCTGAGGAAAACTTTGGAGCTCGGGTTGTTGTTTGGCCTCTGGTACCTTTTCAACATCTACTTTAACATCTACAACAAGCAGGTTAGGTGTTTTCTTTTTCTTCGAAATTTTACGGTGTTTGTGCATTTTGTGTGGCGCGGTTGTTAGAAATTCGCTGTTATTTTGCTCGATTTGCATGAAATGTCTGTACAGCTAGAAACCGAGGCTTCATAATGTTCCGTTTGTGGATCCTATCGTGAAATAGTTATTCTTATGCTTAAATTATCTTAATAATCAAATACGCATGAGGATTTCTCATAAAGATGTAAAATCAAGATCTCCTAGTAAATCCGTATGAAAATATTTTTTGTATGAAGACCTTGATAATGACGAAGGAACGAAAAGGTATGGTTAATCCCTTGCTGGTATGTTGATACTTGAAAGTTGATTAACCTTGAGAGGTTTTTCTACTCTGCAAACGACCGTAAGTAGCACACTGTGGAATTAGATCCTTAGTATTTATCAAGTAAATTGCTCGCTCGATATTTGGTGCAACTCTTTTACCTGCTTATTCATTTCAACTTTCAACTTGACTTGTATTGGTCAAGATGACTTGAAATGCTAGCTTCTTTGGGAGACGTTGATAATATCTGACTCTACTTGTTTGCAGGTTCTCAAGGTGTTCCCGTTCCCTGTAACTGTCACTGCAGTTCAATTTGCTGTAGGCACTGTACTTGTTGTTCTTATGTGGGGACTTAATCTTTACAAAAGGCCAAAGATCAGTGGTGCTCAGGTAATCGTTATTTTACCCTCTTTCAGGTTTTAGGATTCTTTTGTATGCGTAACTAATTTTTAAAAAATGAATATTCATTGAGGTTTTCTGTTTCCTATATAAAAATTTTCATTTCGAGGTTTTGACTTCTTTAAAACTTAACAGCTTGCTGCTATTCTGCCGCTGGCATTCGTTCACACATTGGGGAACCTTTTTACAAATATGAGTCTTGGGAAAGTAGCAGTATCGTTCACTCACACAATCAAAGCTATGGAGCCATTTTTTTCAGTTATCCTGTCGGCAATGTTTCTTGGAGAGGTATGAATTTATTTACGGTCACAACTTAGATAATCATGTATTTTATGTTTGAGGTCCAAACATTAACCTTTTGTAATATGAGAAAAATGCTTGTGTTGCATCCCTTCTGTCCATTATTGGTGATATCTTAACTCTGATGTTCGTCTTTGTGTCTTTGAAGACTCCCACTCCCTGGGTAGTTGCATCTCTTCTGCCAATTGTTGGTGGTGTTGCATTGGCATCTGCCACTGAGGCGTCCTTCAACTGGTAAGACGAGTGTTTTAGTATATCAATATTCATGTCTACTCTTTTAAATAGACATCTAAAAAATGGATTATTTATGCAATTTCTGATATATCATATTTCTTGTAAAAGGGCTGGATTTTGGAGTGCAATGGCGTCCAATGTGACTAATCAATCTCGTAATGTCCTTAGCAAAAAGGTCATGGTGAAGAAAGATGTAAGCACCACTGATTTGTCTTTCTTGTTATCCACGTAGCTTTTGTTTACAGTTGTATTGTAACGGCCCAGATCCACCGCTAGCAGATATTGTCCTCTTTGGATTTTCCCTTTCGGGCTTCCCCTCAAGGCTTTAAAACGTGTCTGCTAGGGGAAGGTTTCCACACCCTTTTAAATGGAGGTTTGTTCTCCTCCCCAACCAACGTGGGACATCACAATTCCCCACATCACAATTCACTCCCCTTCAGGGCCCAGCGTCCTCGTTAGCACTCTTTCCTTCCTCCAATCGATGTGGGACCGCCCCAAATCCACCTCCTTTGGGGCCCAACGTCCTTACTGGCACACCGCCTCGTGTCTACCCCCCTTCGGGGAACAGCGAGAAGGCTGGCACATCATCCGGTGTCTGGATCTGATACCATTTGTAACGGCCCAGATCCACTGCTAGCAGATATTGTCCTCTTTGGGCTTTCCCTTTCGGTCTTCCCCTCGAGACTTTAAAACGCGTCTGCTAGGGGAAGGTTTCCACACCCTTATAAATGGTGGTTTGTTCTCCTTCCCAACCAATGTGGGACATCACATGTATTGATTTGGAATATATGTTCTATATCTAATGGATGAGAAAATATTATTAATATCTTTGCTCGTTGGTGTGGTAAAGTAACAACGTTTTGTTCTTGAAACAGGATTCAATTGACAACATCACGCTCTTTTCAATTATAACGGTCATGTCCTTTTTCTTACTATCCCCTGTGGCTATCTTCATGGAAGGTGTCAAGTTCACTCCTGCATACCTTCAATCAGCCGTGAGTAACTCAAAATAAAAGTTCTGTTGAAATTTTAGTCAGTTTTGTTTCCGTTCTTCATTGTAATTCCTTTTATTACAGGGTTTGAACCTGAATCAAGTCTACACTAGGTCGCTTCTTGCTGCCCTTTGTTTCCATGCCTACCAACAGGTAAGATTTGTTAGGAGGTCGTAGATATAAACTGATTATCTCGTGTTCAGTTTAAGGGAGGAATTGTTAGGATTAGATTTGATTTAGTTAATTTAGTTATTTGAATTAGATTTGATTTAGTCATATCGGATTTGATTCCGTAATGCTATATAATAGCCAATTTCATTCTTCAATAGAATGAGAGATTTCTCCCTCGATTCCTAACAAGATTTCCAATATCTCGAGTGAGATATCTGCATTTAGACTTTCTCCTGAACATATACTTTAGTTAGTTTTTCTTTTTCTTTGTGTAAATGTCTATGTCTTGCTTCTTGTTCAAATATAGCTAAAATGGATTTGCACTGACAGCCATTGGGGTTACTTTTGCAGGTTTCTTACATGATTTTGCAAAGAGTTTCGCCCGTTACCCACTCGGTCGGTAATTGTGTAAAGCGTGTTGTGGTCATCGTGAGCTCTGTTATCTTCTTCCAAACACCAGTTTCTCCAATCAACTCTCTTGGTAATATTGGCTGCTTCCATCTTCTGCTAATGAATATATGCTAAACACTTATGGATGCATTAAAATACTTATTGTTCTTGAACCAAATCCAGGCACTGGAGTAGCTCTTGCTGGGGTTTTCCTGTATTCAAGAGTTAAGCGCATCAAAGCTAAGCCAAAGACAGCTTAAAGCCTCCCATGAAATTTTGCCTTAATAAGTTGGTTTGCTGCTAGATAACGAAAAATCCATCAATGATTTGTTTGTAGTTGCGCACGATCCATGTAGAAAACAACTGTAAGCTTTTTGTTCTCTTCAGTTTTATACCATTTCTTTCTGCTCTTCAGGATGACTTTTTTTCTTGGTGGATAAATAGCCATCTTCCTTCCCTCTGCACACACGATTCGCTTGGTTTAAATGTCCATCCACAATATTAGAAGCCAACATTTTGAGCTTTCAGGTTTAAACCCGGTGTGTGTTTCCCACTTGTTGCAAACTTGCTTTACTTAACACAGGTGGAAACTTATTGAATTAGGCCGTCACAATGCACTCTTACAAATGGCAGGGTGTAATTATAACTTGGAATTGACTCATGAGTAGCAGATAAGGTAGTTAATGATTTTTACCATTATTACTAGAACTGCCTAATTTATCAGGGTAGAAAGAGATTCCACCTCGGTTGGAGAGGAGAACAAAGTATTTCTTGTAAAAGTGTGGAAACTTCTCTCTAAGTATTTCTTGTAAAAGTGTGGAAACTTCTCTCTAGAAGACGTGTTTTAAAACTATAAGGTTGACGGTGATACGAAATGGGCCAAAACGGACAATATCTACTATCGATGAGCTTGGATGAACTGTTGCCAATGGTATTAGAGTTAAACACTGAGCGGTGTGCCCACGAAGACTCTGGCCCCCAAGGGAGTGGGGTGGATTGTGAGATTCTTATATCAATTGGAGAGGATAATGAAACATTTCTTCTAAGTGTGGAAAAAACGCTGGCCCCCAAGGGGATGGTGGATTGTGAAATTTCTATATCAAAACATTCCTTCAAAGTGTGTAGAAAAATTTTAAAATTTTGAGAGAGTCCGGTTAAGGATAACAATAATCCAGCTTAAATTACAATTTTTGTTCTTAAGCTTTTATTTGTAATTAGTAGATCTTTAAATAGGATAGGTCCACAAACTTTAAATTTTAATAGATTTATTTATTTTTTATTTTGTATCCATAAGGGATTAATATTAGATTTTTTTTTTATAGTTTCAACAAATTTAAAATTTCGGTCTCTTAAATATAAAATTCTAATTTAAAATTAATTAATCATTTCATTTTTAAATATTCATAACATATTCGCTCAAAATTGGAACTTTAAAAATTTATTAAATATTTAAAAAATTCAAGACCGAAGTTGAAAAATTAAAATTGTAATTTGCCTGATGTGAAAATATTTGATTATAAGCCCATTACCGGGTTCATGGATCAATCAGGCCCATTACAGTTCTAACTGGTAAGTTTCAAACGAGCCCACCAAGCCCATTTAGGCCCATATGTGAAAGATTTCGAAACTAGGTCCATATAAATCAAGCCCACGAATTATCGGAAGAAAAGAAAATGGGCAAAATTTCAATTCATCTTAACCGTCCACGTGGTTACCGCTAACTGATCACCGCCATCATCGCAAGGTATGTAAGAAAGCCAAATTTCTTATTATGCTCTGTAATCGTGTTAGATTAGAAAAAAACAATTGGAAAACCAGTCTCCCGAATTCCTGGAGAGAGAGAGAAATCGGTGAGGATGTTGAGTTTCAGTTCGAAGAGGCTTCTAGGGATTGTGTCTAGGGATTTTTCGTCGCCGGCCGTTCAAATCTTCCCGCGATTTTACCACGAGAGGGTTATTGATCACTACAGTAACCCTCGAAACGTTGGATCGTTTGATAAGAACGATCCGACGGTCGGCACGGGCCTTGTCGGTGCGCCCGCCTGTGGCGATGTTATGAAGCTTCAGATCAAGGTTGATGAGAAGACTGGTAAGGTTGTTGATGCTTGCTTCAAGACGTTTGGCTGCGGTTCCGCGATTGCTTCCTCGTCGTTGGGTTCGTTTTTCTTCTCTGTTCCTTAAATTTCTTTATTGGAGAAATTGAGAACTATATTTGTTGTTGATATCTTGCGATTTCATTGTGATTTCTGGAACGAGGAGGGGACAGAATCGGAAACGCATTTTGTTTTAGTGCTCATTAGGTCTCCCGCTTTCAAGTTTTAGCTCTACTGTATGTTTTGATAGGTTCGGAGAGGTATTTTTTCTGATTCCTGCCCTCGAGGATAAGGAGATGGGCATTTAAACTTCATGCCTTTCTTTTAAATCTTGTTCTTAAGTTGATATCTAGGTTCCATTGGCTGTTTCAATAAAATTTCTGCCTGCGGCATGCCATTCCATTCAAGTTATGCGATTTAGAATGTAGCTCGAAGACCGGAATTTCGGTAGCCTTGTTTGTGGATAAATTGCTCCTGAATTTCATTGGACGGACAAAATTATTATTGAAGCTATCGTGACCCATTGTTTGTCCCTCGCCTTGGACGTTGGTAGTCCTGTCACGGTCATCTAATGTCGTTCTCCTAAGGCCGACTAGCATGCCATGTACCATTCTCTATCTTTCTGTTCAGAATATGCAAAATGAAAGTCTTGGTCTCTTGGTCTCTTGGTCTCTTGGTCTCTTTGTCTCTTGCCTTTGCTAGGACTAGGAGTAAATTTAGCTTTTGGGTTTTTCTACTGTATGGGGTAGAGTGGGTTGATCTCGCTCCACATTCTACTTTTGTGTATTTGTTTCTTTAGAAGCTTTTGGTACTTACTGCAAGTGAATTGTGATCTTCTGGTCACATTAGGTTATATATGTAGAGGGCTTTATAAATGTGTGAATTTTGAACTTGCAGCTACAGAAATGGTGAAAGGGAAGCATATGGAAGAAGCCTTAACCATTAAAAATTCGTAAGTTTCATTTACCATGTACTTTTCATCTGATTATTATTCGACGAGTTTTCTTTGTATTGTTCATTTGATGTTTTTCTATTAGATATATCATCTGTTTTTTCTCTTGATGAGTCCTGGGGGAAAGATATATGGTAGTATAATTTCATAGATTGGTATGAAGTGTGGGTAGCTACTTCCATTATCGTAAAAATCATCGTGATGTTTGGTCACATGGCCGAAAAATTTATTTAGGGATGCTAACTTTTTGAAAGTGTTTGTGGTGGAGCTCTGAATTGGTGTTTTATTTCCTTTTCTATTAAAAATACGTGTAAGCATACTCGAAAGTCATTTCAATGTATGTTCTCTGCAGCTATTATCAACAAATAATGGATATGACCAATAGTTTTAAAATTCATATTTGTAGGATTATTTGTGGAACACTACTGTCAACAGTTTTCAAATTTCAGAGTTGCAGCATATGACACATAAAATTTGAATGTGTTTCTGTTGATCGAACTACAAACTACTAACAGCTTTCGTTTCTTTGTGCACTGAATGATCCATGTACTTCAGTTGGTATTTTGCTTTATTGAAGATTCCAATATTTTCTACTTGCACGTTATAGTATGAGATTTCGATTCAAAATTGTACTGTTTTCACTTTTTAAGTGTTTGGCCTTTTTTTCGAGTTGTACTGCAGCAGTCATGCCATAAATCAGTGAGTTTAAGATAATGAGCCAGAACAAACTTGCAGTTTTAGATGCTCCCGGGACTTGCTAAAAGAATAATACCTGAATACATAATAATAATATCATCAACTTACTTTATGCGGTCGCCTTCCTTCTGTTCATCATTCTCCTTTTGGTTATTGGTGTATTCAAAGGGTTCTCGATGTCTTACACAGTTTTCTTATCTATACTCTCCCGGTTTGTGTTCGTCAGGCCCTTTCTTGAATTCATTTGTGAATGCGCATTTTGGTGATTGCATTATTGCATTTACCACCCTCCAGCCTTCAAGGTTTATACTTCGAAATAACGTTGGTATACTCGATGCTGCAGGGAAATTGCTAAACATCTCTCCCTACCGCCTGTTAAGTTGCACTGTAGCATGCTTGCCGAAGACGCTATTAAGGCTGCTGTTAAAGATTATGAAGCCAAGCGTGCCAAATTGATGGGTGATGCTGAAACTCCCCCCGCGGATAAGGCCTCGAACGCTTAGCCAAGTAATGGTTGTAAATGATGTAAAAACTATTATAGTCAATATTTGTAGTCCAAGGTTTTTAATAATCACCTTAGTTTACTTTCAATGTTCTCTTTGATTTCCCCCCTTCCAGGGAACTGGAAGCAAGTGTTAGACCATTGGATTACAGGTTCGGACTGCAGTTTTGATTCTATCACGTCGATTTTCGTTGTTTTTCAAATAATCTCTGAAATTAATGTGGCCTTTTGATTGAGTACTATGCTTCTGCTGATGAGATTTTTAGTCTTTTAGACTCTGCTTGATATTGACTGTGAGCTTTTAGGTACAAGGTGGTTGTGTGCTGGTTAGGTTGTTGTGTGTTGTTTTTCTAGGACGATCGAGTATATACGATCGTGGTTCGTTGCCTATTAGTCGAGCATTTTTGAACCCTGGTCCGCTTATGTTCTAAGATTGTCTCATTCCGTGTGTTTACCTGATTATAGCTCAAGCCTAGCAGAGTTCGGCTGTAAATCAACTTCTATATTTGGACTCTCGTCGTGTACAATGAATTTACGACCTGCTCTATTATAGACGGATCAGTGAAGCTATGTATTTGGTGCTCACAAACGGGGGTTGTGTAGCACTTACTATCGCTTTTGGGTGAGTAAAGTCAACTTGAAATCAGATCTTTTGTGACACAACGAGAAATAATTTTGAAAAATATTTTTTTTTTTAGAACATTATATGAAGAAAATATTATTACTTATTGTAATAATTTTGAAATAATTCGGATATGAATGATTGACTTATATCCTTATAGTATACTATTAGGTAAGTTGTCTTAGTAGGTCAAAAGAGCGAGGAGTTTATAAAATTACAAGAAAATGAAATTAACATATGGGAGTGGAAACATATGACCCGGGCAAGACGCTTTAGACATCTTATACCATTGTGTTTATTTATATATTCGTATACTTTCGCCGTCACAAAAATTTGTGGGTCATGGGTCAACCCTTTAGAAGAGATGCACGAGTTTTATACTTGCCTTTTAACCGTTCCTTCTTTGGTCTCTTATGCGCGAAATAAATGGAGAGATTTTTAAGGGCATACCTTCATGCAAAAGCCTCAAAGGGTTGCCTTAAACGACCTTCAGGTCCACTTGCCTACTCGAGAAATTTGAAACCCTCGGGATGAGTAGAGCGGGTCGAGTCCGCATCGTTGTGTACAATTCTGATCTATCTACTCTTCGGGATAACAATAAGGGAGTCTATTCTAAATGTAAAAGTCCCAAAGTGTTGTCTTAAACGACCTTCAGGTCCACTTGCCTACTCGAGAAATTTGAAACCCTCAAGATGAGTAGAGCGGGTCGAGTCCGCATCGTTGTGTCCAAATCTGATCTATCTACTCTTCGGGATAACAATAAGGGAGTCTATTCTAAATGTAATGTCAATAATTTTACAAGAAGATATTTACAATCATTCTACGAGCAATGACTTGAATAAATGGTTTAATCTATCGGTGAACGGCATAATAAATTAGGATGAATATTCAAAGGTCCAATATACTTATCAACTAAGCTATATTCATGTTAACGTGTTTAAAGATTCATGAACCTAACTAACCCCGTTGAAATTAAAAATAATTTAATTTTTTTTTTTAATAAGAATTATAGAAAAAGAAACCATGAAAAAAAAAAAGAAAAGAAAAGAAAAGAAAAGTCCACCGCCGATTGGGGAGAGCCGTATCGTGGACCATTAGTTTGAAGCTACCACGACTTTTGGCGCGATTTGTGTGGAACTAAACAAGCTATTCGCCGCTTGTCGGATTCAGGCACCGTTCACGGCTGACCGTCGAGCCGACACTACCTTCACTAAAATCCCAAATTCTCCAATCTTTCCATTTCACCTGACACTGATTGAATCCCTTGAAACCTGCAGATCGCCGATCCGACCATCTGTTGCCGGAAACTGAATTCTTACTACTTCCGTTCTTTCTAAAGCCACCGTCGCCACAAGCTTCCTTGGCCGGAGGTTAGCCTAAATTCGGATTCATACTACTTCTGTTTACTTTGGATTGCTTACCGAGCTCTTTTTTTCCTGACTCAATCCGTTTTAGTCAAAGAATCGAAGAGTTCTTCATTTGTCCGATTGTTTTAGAGTTCGTTTTGTATGCATCAGAGAGTAAAAGGCAAGTGTATTTTTCAAAGTGGGCCTTACAAGTTAGAAAGCACGAATTTCAATTTCAGGATTTGAATTGATGTTTTTCTTCTCCTTGTTATTTAATGACGATAAAAAGATCGTCACAGTTGGATGGCGTTTCTTCTTCTTAACGACAAGTATCTATAAATTTTAGTTGGTGTGTAGGCGTACGACCAGTGGCGGTCTAGTGCATTCCAGTTGTGGGTTAGGCAGCTGGGAGGTGAAGGTTTGGTATTAATGGCTAGTCCTGTGGATAACCTACACCCTGAAATTCGTCGTATAAAGGGAGATGGTCAGCAAGCTGAGGATAAAAACCAGCATGTTGAGAAAGAGGGCGGCCTGAGTGGTGGTGAGAGGGACATGGCTCCGGTTACTGGCAATTCCATCCATAGGTCTGGTTCTCGCCCACAGCTAGACCTCAGTAAAGCTGCAATTCAGGGCAATTTCGAGGAGAGAGACCCTACAATTCTTCTGCCTAACCAGTCTGATGATATATCTCACCTGGCTCTTGATATCGGCGGTATATTCCATGTGTATTCCTGTAATCTGGATTGGTTCATTCTATGTATTGGTTTATTCTTTCCTCCTTTTCTGTTCTTAAAAGCTTACTTTTGGTTAATTCTTTTTTTGGGATAAATGATTATTGCAGAGGTTGTTAGGGAATCTGATTCCAAGCAGTGGAAGGATTGAAAGTTGTTATATAGTATAGGACGACTCACAATCTGATAATGGGCAAAATACTCGTTTTGCTTTTGAATGAAAAGGGTTATTCCCTTTTCTTTGGCTTCTCGTTTCCCTCTTTTAGTTGTTATCTAGCTGTTGACATGTATTAGATTTGATGTAACTTTTTTCTTGACTAATCATCATTGAGTCTAGTCATGTTCTTTATCACTTGTGAAGTGAATAAGATAAGAGGATGTAGAGGCATATGGTTTATTATTGTTGATACAGGACATAGCTTGTTACAGTTTCAGTTTCTTTATTAAATTGATGATAGAATTAATTCTTAATTTGCAGGATCTCTCATCAAATTGGTTTACTTTTCAAGGCATGAAGATCAATCGGTTGATGATAAGAGGAAGAGGAGCATGAGGCAGAGGCTGGGGTTCTCAAATGGTAATAGAAGAAGTTATCCAGTTCTTGGTGGGAGGCTTCATTTTGTGAAGTTTGAGACATGCAAGATTAACGAGTGCTTAGACTTCATCCATTCCAAGCAGCTACATCGTGGTGGTATGTATGTTGTCATCATACTTTTAGTTCATTCATAATTTTCAGATAATCTGAGTTTCTTGTTTTCTCGCAATGCCTAAACATTTTCAGCTAGCAACAATTTACCTCGTTGGCATTCAGATGGCTCAACAAATGAAAATGCCATCATTAAGGTATATTCTTTTGATATGACTTCATATCAGATCTGTTGTGCTTTGAGGAAAAGGCCCACAAATATTATTAGCTGCAGAACCGAAAGTAGTATGTTTTAGGACTTGATGTATATTGCACATTCTTTTTCTACTCTTCTGTGAATGAGGTTAACAAAGAACTACTATTCTACAGTCGTAACTTCTACCTTCCGCTATTGACGTTCTTTCTTAGGACCTCCTTTTCTTGCATCAGCTTACTCTAAATCGTCAAATGGAACTTTTTTACATAGGGTTGATTTACCCCTGCCCTCGGGGTCTGCCATTTTTCTTCTTTTTCTGTGCCTGTGCCTTTGGTTTTGCCTGTTCTCAGTTTTTGTGTTTTCATTTGTCTTGACGAACTAAAGAAAAAAATGGAGTTAAAGGTGGGAAAGGGTGTGCTCCTTAGTTAATGTGATTCACCTTTTATTTAGATAACGCTTCTTACCCTGTAACAATTGCTGCAAGAAGGCTACAGGTGGAGGGGCATACAAGTTTGCAGACCTTTTTAAAGAAAGACTTGGAGTTAGCCTTGATAAAGAAGATGAAATGGATTGTCTTGTGGCTGGAGCAAATTTTCTGCTAAAGGTGGATTTCAAACTCTTTTAACATTTTTTTTTTTTTTTTTGGTGCTGGTATAGTAAAAAAGAAGTTAGATTATGCTTGCATTTTCATCAGTTCTTTTACTACCCACTTGTGTTTTTGATTACTTGAAAGCTTTAAATTTCACGGTTTTGTTTGCTTCTTTGTGCCCGTAAATTTTTATTGGCATACTAGTGATTCACGTCTGGGGGCTTGATCTTTGAGCTCGTTTATTGATTATTTTGAGATCTTAAATATGCATTTCACTTATCGAATAGCAGTCACACGTGAATGCCTAGATACCTCTTTGAAGAAGTTGGGTTGTTATCCACAAAGGATAATTGTTAGTGTAAACATTGAACCTTCATGATTGTCTCATCTTTGGTAGATTTTGAGTCATTGGTTTCTGCTTGAAATAGTTGTGTATGCGTATGTAAAACTTGCTAAATTCTATATTGTTATCTTAAGGTACATATCTTTTTATGAAGCAGTATTACTTATCCTGTTCTCAGATGAATAGTACTCCAAAGGTTACTAGTGTTAACAATGTTTTAGTAGGCAATACGTCATGAAGCTTTCACTCATATGGAGGGTAAAAAAGAGTTCGTGCAACTTGACCATAATGAATTATTTCCCTATCTACTTGTTAACATTGGATCGGGTGTCAGCATGATCAAGGTATGCCGTAAATCTCTACTTTTGTTTTTCCTTCATTCCATTTTCTTGCTCTTCATCTTAAGGATGAGTAAAGCTTGCTAAGCTTTATATTTGCTTAACTTTTTTTAAGGTTGATGGCGATGGGAAATTTCAGAGAGTTAGTGGGACAAATGTTGGAGGGGGTACCTACTGGGGTTTAGGAAGGCTGTTAACAAAATGTAATAGGTAATTATGTTGTATATATTGAGAATGTCTTCTCTCAAATTTTGTTATTATTTCTAAGATTTTCCATTTATTTATCCTGCTCCAGCTTTGATGAGTTGTTAGAGCTTACTCAAAAGGGAGATAATAGCACAATTGACATGCTTGTTGGGGACATATATGGTGGCATGGATTACTCTAAGGTGCGTTAAATGTAAATTCAAATTCCTTGCATTTTTGTACTTCTTTCCAAAACATGC